GGGGGGGGGGGAGGGAGGAATGCGGGAACGTTCTCCCACGACGAGCGCATGAGAGAGGAGTAGCGTACATGGATGTAGCGTAGCGAGCAGGCCCGGCTCCACTCACTAGGCGTTCCACCGTTTATGAAGCCCTGACAAATGAAGGCCCGGGCCGTACTGCAAGTATGAGCCAGGCAGTAGTCGCTCCAACGGCAGACCTAGTCAGTGGTCCAGTCATAGGTGCCTTTTATTACTTTCCTTTAAAATGTTTAGCCCGCCACCAAAGTTTGTGGTATGATATTCAAATGTCTTTCTCTCCGATTGGTTCTGGACGAAAAATATGCTGTATATGGGTAGGGCTTGGTTTTCACGTTCTATGCAGGTGTGATAGACGATGAAAGTGGACCCCCCCCCCAATTAAAAAATGTTCATAAGATTTTAGTGTGTGATGATAGCTCTCCTATTTTAACGGAGCTCCCCGCCTAACGCCCCTCCCCCTTCTGCAGGTGAACGGCGGCGGCTCGACGTGCGTCCAGGATGGCGAGTACGAGTACGAGGAGATCTCCCTGGAGCGGGGCGGCGCCGGCCTCGGCTTCTCCATCGCGGGCGGCACCGACAACCCGCACGTGGCCGACGACCCCTCCATCCTCATCACCAAGATCATCGCGGGCGGCGCGGCCTCGGCCGACGGCCGGCTGCGCGTCAACGACACGATCCTCTCCGTCAACGACACGTCGGTGGTCGGCGTGCCGCACTCGACGGCCGTGGAGGCCCTCAAGAAGGCCGGCAACTTCGTCCGCTTGGTGAGTGTTGCATGCATACTCGCGAAAAAAAAATCCAACAGATCCGCTGTATAGCTACACCAATAGATTCTACTGGATAACTAATTATCCAGCTACGTAGCCATTTTTTATTTTTTTTACTATGGTGCGACTTGCGTACCACACCGTTACCCATGCCACGCGCCTTACCCACCTAGCTGCCTCCAGGCTCGCGTGTCGTCGTGTTATTGACAATGTGGTGGGTAGTGCTCAGACATGACGACGACGTCTCAACATCTCCATTTCTCGCCGCCTCGGGGGGGCTTCAGCAGCTCTCCCCTGTTTCGCGAACTGCCGCCGCGGCCCCCGCGCTCCCCGGCTCCCGATTTCTCGCGCAGCTATGAACTAGACACCCCACTGCCACACTCGACTCGCATGTGTCTAGCTATCAACTAGACACTCCGCTGCCACACTCGGCTCGCATGGCTGTTTGGTCTTGTTCGACCTCCCGATGATGAGTCGGGGCGCGCAACGCAGTCAGGGGCGCGGGATTCAACAAACTCCTCACACTCCCTTTATGGTGTGATTAAGAAAACTCGACCCTAACGATGTTCTTACAAAAATATAGGTCAATTTGTTTTGAGATTAAGCAGACAAAAGGATTGTCCCAGAGAGCCCGTTATTTTCTTCTCTCACACTTTTCGTAGGAGGCGTAGGCGCCTGCGAGACTCGGGGTAGGCCTCCCCGCAGTACACGCGTGCTCTACAGGCGACATGTTGCCTACCCACCAGGTGCGATGTGAGGTGGCGTGGGCTGAACTTGGCGTGGCAATATCGCAACTGCCAATGACTTTTCAACTTTAATGAGGGTTAAGACGTCAGTTCGCATGAACTCGAATCACCGGTATAACTTGGGTGGGACGTCAGTCCGCGAGCGGACCATCCCCTGCGCCCCCAGCTAGTGCTGGAAACGTCCGTGGTTTCACGTGGGCGGGTCCGTCTTCTGTAGCTCTGCCTGATCTCGCCTCCACTGCGCGGGCGCGCGCGGCAGCAGCAGCGGCAGCGGCAATCCTGTTGAAGAGGTGCGCGACTCGTAGTTAATCATACGCTTTGGGATGAACTGGGTGGAAAAAAAGAAGAAAATACAAACAGAAAAATGTTGTACGGTGGCGGCGAGGACAGGCAGGAGAGAGAGAGAGAGGGGAGTCGCGGAGCAGCGCGCGCGACACTCGACCGCGTGGGTTGATCTTGTCACATTTCCGCGAAGCGGCGCAGACGAGTGAAAGGTGATGTGTTTCCATCTTGCTCCGCAGCACGTCCGCAGACGTAAGATGCCGGCGCACATGCGGATCCTGGAGCTGGAGCTGGTGAAGGGCACCAAAGGGTTGGGCTTCTCCATCGCGGGCGGCATAGGCAACCAGCACATCCCCGGCGACAACGGCATCTACGTGACCAAGGTGATGGAGGGCGGCGCCGCGCAGGTGGACGGCCGCCTCGCCGTCGGCGACAAGCTCATCGCCGTGCGCAACACCAACGTAAGTATCAATCATCAAGACTGATTTTTTTTCTTCGGAAAAATTTGAAACGTTTCCAAAACAAAATTGAAAAAAATTGAATACAATAAACTTTTCAGCTAAAAACAAAAACAATGCAATATTTTCAAAAATATTTCCCAAAATATCTTTTTGGAGTATTGCCGTCACTATGCAACCGGTATACCTCGGTCCTTTTATGATGACTCCCTTCTTGTGCAGCAAGGGGAGCGCAACCTGGAGAACGTGACCCACGAGGAGGCGGTGGCCACCCTGAAATCGACGACGGACCGCGTGGTGTTGCTGGTGGGCAAGAGCGAGCTGTCGCGGCCCGCGTCCACGCTGTCGCACCACTCGCATCAGAGTGAGTACTGTACCGCCCCGCCCCCGCCCCGAAAGGGTTCGTGCGTCTTCCTTTACAATAATCTTTCCTGTTCTGCCCCGCAGCCGTCGGGGAAGTGCACCAGCCGCCGCCGCCCGCCTCCCTCCCCGCCCCCACCACCTCCATCGTGACCGCCATCCCGTCGGCCGCCTCTTCGCGGGTGGCTTCGCCCGTCGGCGCCGCCCCCGCCGTTGCCCCCGCCGCTGCCCCCGTCGCCGCAGCCGCCCCCGCCGTCTCCGCCCCCAGCTCCCGCGGCCCCTCTCCCGGCCAGGGCAAGAGGGCCGCACCGACGCTCGACGCTCCTACGCGGTAAGTCTTATTTTGCCTCCGTTTTCCCCCGAGCAGCTCGTCCCCCATCATGCTGCTGATGTGATTAACCACGCTGCCGTGATGCGACGTCTTCTGGGGGCGCGTTCAGACAAGGCAGAACAGGGCGGCGGGGCGATCGAGCTAGCGGCGTAGAGCGCAGACATGCCCAAATAGACTGTTGTACATCTAAGTGCATCTAAATTACTTCAAAAGAAGGTGGTCCAGCTCATCTTACAAAGGTCCGTCTTCTTTAGTACAGAAGCCTATTTGAGAGTATTCGCGACATTATCCGAACGCACCCCCTG